TTTAAATACAGCAGTTCACCAAGGCGATGGTACAGGGCCAGTGCAGCGAGCACTGTGCTCCCGCGGGACGGTGGCAGATGGTGCCGTTCCGGACGGGGCTGCCTCTGTGCTGGCGCTTCCCTTCCCTGCGGCTAATTTGGACTGTCTTTGCAAATCCCATTTAATAAAGCAGCGGCGCTGGATGCCCGCTCCTTCACACATCTCCCAGAATGCTCTCGGGGAAGCGGGAGATGCCCCGACAGTGGCAGCACTGGTGGCAGGACCAGTGCCGTCTGAAGGATCCCAGACCCCGGGGTGGGACCTGCCCAAAGGGACTGGCAGGAATGGAGCCGATTGGGAGCAGGTGCGGGGAGCCCTGCCTCTTCCCGCCTGGCATCGCAGGGAGGCACTGGCAGCGTCCTGCGCGCTGGGGCTTGGGGAGGACGGTTTGTCCCTGGGCACTGCTGGGCGGCAGTGGTGGAGGGGTCATTCCTAGCCTTCAGCAAGGTGGTGGGGAGTCCCATCAAGGGCAGAGGTGAAGAATCCGCCTCTCTGCAGCTGGGGTTCCCCCTTCTGTCCTCTCCATCCCCGTGCTGCCCTCCCCGCGGTGTGCAGCCGACTCTGGATCCTGCTCCTGCCTTGGTTGTGGGTGGAGAAAGGCAGCTGGAGTGGCTCTTTAGAAAACAGAATTACAGTAAAACGTGGGAGGTTCCTACAAGTCACCTGGGAGCTGCTTCCTCCCACTCCCAGACCCGGGCTGTCTGGGAGGAACTTTAAATTGCTGCCCGGCTCAGCCCCGGCCACTGGCTCCGCAGCATGACGGCGAGAGGCATCGTCCTGCTGGGGCTCCTTGCCCTGTGGGCAGAGCTGCAGGCAGCACCCACTGCAGGCAAGTATGGACACGCTGGAAATACCCGGCCTCTCTAGATTCTAAGAATATTTTCCGCATTCTCATAGAATCATAGAATGGTTTGGGTTGGAAGGGAAGTTCATCAGTCCGACCCGCCTGCAACGAGCAGAGAGATCTTCAACAGATCAGTGTTGATGATGATGTTCAGTGATGTGTGCCTAAATGTCTGTTTTCACCCTTGTATTTATGAAAGCTTCCTGTGAAGAGTTGTAGCCCTTGTGAGGTTTAGCCCTTGCTTACATTTTATAATCTTTGAGTTCTGCAAAGCTCCTGCTGAGGACGGAGACGCCGGTGGTACCAGCACACAGCTGCCAGGATGCTTGGGAGGAGGTTTGTCACTCGAACCAGTGACCAGGGCAGGGACTGGTGGAAACACCAGCTCGGCCAGAGCCCTGGGGTGCTGTAGATGGGACCAAGACGGGCTGGGCTGGGCTGGACCCAGACTGGGGGGGCTGGGATGGTCCCTCCCGGCTGGGCAGAGCAGCTTCCAGCCGCAGGGCTGGGACCCCCCTGGGGCAGGTGGGGACCCCCACCCCTCACAGCGCTGCTCGGGGCATCTCTAACCAAAACGAGAACCAGCAGGTTGATAGAGCCGAGCTCCAGTGGGCTGAGCTCTGCTGCCCGCCCGCCCGTGCCTGCCTCAGAGCAGAGCGCAGCGCGTTCCTCGCCCGGGCTGGCAGCTGCCCCACGCTTTGCTTCATGGCAGGGGCCGGGCATCTGCCCCCCGTGAGCCCTCTGAAAGCACCAGCCCGACCAGGGAGGTGCAGCTCTGGGAGAAAGGAAACACTCAAAGAATTATTTTTCCTCCTCTTTTTTTAAAAAAAAAAAAAATGGCCAACTTTCAAAGAAGTGAAAATTGCATTTCTTTTGAATGAGCAGCGAAGTGACTTTGAAAGCAGTGTTTGAGATTTTACAGAATCCTTCTTTCCGAACGCTGCTGCACGTGTTGCAAGCTGGGCTGTTCTACTCTAAGGCTTAAACTCCGAGGCAGCAGCAGCTCCCGTGCAGTGGGAGCCAGCTTTGCTGTTGCTCTGTAACAAGATGCTGGGGCCATCGCACGCTGATGAAAATGTGTTGAAGAAACTTGCGTTTCTTTCGGTCTCAGTTTACAGGCTGGTTTTAAGCCTTATGATACAACCCACTTTTTGCCAGCAAGCCGGCGGTGCTGGTGCCTCCATTGCTAACGTCTTGGTCCTGTTCCCTGTCCCAGAGCGATGCCAAGGCGCCAGCGCTGCCCGTGGGGAGCCTCGTGCCGCGCCGCTCTGCTGCCGAGCAGGATCGCTCACTGCTGCTCAATGGGAGAGTGTGCGGGCTGACTTCCTAAATAGGCTTAGTGATATATTTATGCCCTGGTTAAATAGCACATGCTGTATTTTTACTTGTATTTGTTTTGTCAAGAAGTTGCTGCAGTCAACGGTGCAGTGTTCACCTGTCCCTTGCACCCCCCTGGGAGCACCCCAGGACACACAGACATGCAGATGCACATACACATTTCCTTGCTTTTCCTCTCCAAGTCCTGGCACAGCTCTCCAAGCTCTGCGCGGTGCTGGCCCCTGCCGGTGCCACTGACTGCAAGGGTTGGGGGAGCCGTGGGGGGAGCGGGGTGGGGACGGGCTTGGGCGATGCGGGGCTCACCGCAGGTGCCGGGACAGGCTGCAGTGTGGCACTGTGCCGCCTCTCACCCAGCTGCCCCATGCAGCCGGGGCCACGGGCAGGTGCTGGCCCCGGTGCAGAGACGCCCAGGAGTGCCTGGGCGGGCAGGCATGCTGCAGCTCCCACGGCGGGCGCTTCGCGCCCTGCTGCTGCTGGCGGCGAGGGCCCCTCGGGCACCGGCCCCACCACAACGCTGCCGTGCGCTGGGAAGCGCTGGCATGGCCCCGGGGGTCTGTGTGGCCCTGGCCATGCAGGCAGCAGCAGGCAGGCAGAGGCCTGAGATCCCACCGGGAAAAGCTGCAGGGGAGAAGGCAGCCATGCAGCACCGCGGCAAAGCCGGCTGCCGCGGGTGGGGGGAGCATCCTGCCCTTGATGGCCTGGCTCAGCACCAAAGTGCCAAGTCTGAGAGCCTGAGCTATCAAGGGGCAGATCCCTGGGGGCTTTGCCCATCCAGGAGCCCTGTGCGGTGACGCGCGGTGCTGGCGGGGGGGAGCCACAGGTGGGAGCCATGGGTGGGAGGGCAGCACAGGGCTGGTGCCCCGGGGCTGACGCTGCTGCTTTCTGCTCCCTTCCAGGGCTCCCCGGAGCAGCCCCTGCCAGGCGGCCGCAGCCACAGCAACCTGGAAGCACTCCACTGGGGAAGAGCCCTTTGCCTGGCAGGGTTGCCCCCGACGGGAAGTGGGAGTCGGGTGCGGAGCAGGACCAGCGCCCACCCGAGGCTGAGCCACCACCCGCGTCAGGGAAGAAGCCAGCGACCGGGGGGGAGCCTGCGGTGGGGAACAAGCCCATGCTGGCTGGGAAGCCAGATGCTGGGAAGAAACCTAGTTTGGGGAAAAAGCCAGCATGTGGGGGGAAGACTGAGACTAGGGAAAAACCAGAGGTCGTAGCAAAGCCGGAGACCGGAGTGAAGCCAGAGACCGCGGGGCAGCCAGTGGCTGGGGGGGAGCCGGGGACTGGGGGGGAGCCAGTGGGTGGGGGGGGCCGGTGGCTGGGGGAAAGCCGGCATCTGGGGAGAAACCTGTGCTGGGGGAGAAGCCAGAGAGCGGGGGGAAGCCGGAGAGTGAGGGGAAGCCTGAGGCGGGAGAGAAGCCTGAGTCCGACCAGGGTGACAGTGTGGAGGATGATGACAGTGACGACGACGATGACGACGACGACGACGATGATGATGATAAAAATGAGCATGGTGATGGCAATGACAATGGTGATGAAGATGGTGATGGTGATGGCGATGACGATGGTGATGATGATGATGATGATGACGATGATGACGACGACTATGGAGATGATGATGGTGATGATGATGATGACAGTGATGATGATGGTGGTGGTGATGGCTATGATGCTTGGTGACCGATGCTGCAGGGTGTGTGAGGAGTGTGTGGGGCGAGGAGAGCCCACGGTGGGTGGGTGCAGGGGCGGCCACCCCCAATCTCCTCCTCTGCCTCACTCTGCCAGGGCCGGTCCCGGGCACCAACGCCGTTTCAGGCAGGACCTTCTCTTTCCTAATAAACCCCACATTGGGCCACTGGCTTGGCATGACAAGCTGTCCCTCGTCAGTGCCTGGCATGGCCAGGCCATCGTGGCTGCCCCAGCCCTGCCCCGGGCATGGGGAGCTCCCACGCCTGCTCCTGCCTGGCATGGGCTTGGCAGGGCTCTCTGCCCAGCAGCACGACTCTGTCCCCCGTGGGAGAGCCACAGGGATCACCCTGCTCAGGCGCACACCCAGGACCAGCAGAGCATCTCTGGGCCAGGAGAAAGCTCCCCGTGAGGTTCGTCCCCCCCAGCTCCCTGGGGCTCCCTGGGGTGAGCTGCTCCGTGGCCAAGGCCCCCCAGCATCGTCCGAAAGCAGCTGCCGTGGCAGGGCTCCGCCAGGACCCATGTGGGCATGGACACCCACAGGTCCCAGATCTGGTGGTTTTGCACAGGCGGTGTGCCAGGTTGCTGGGAGCTCATGCGTCCCATGGAGCCTCGCCTGTGCCCACCGTGCTGCGCCGTGCCGCGCCGTGCCGTGCTGCACCGTGGTGTGCTGGGCCGTGCTGGGCCGTGCCGTGCTGGGCCGTGCTGTGCTGGCAGCGGGGTCAGGAGCTGGGGGACCGCTGCCTGTGCAGGATGCGAGGGGCAGCCCCGGCTGACCCCCGAGGGCTCAGGGCAGCCCGGCCACGCTCCCGCTGCAGAGCTGCACCAAGGCAAGGTTGGGGCTGGCTGTGCTACCATGGCCCTCGGGCAAGCCCGGGTCCTCTCTGGGGGTACAACGGGGTCCTGCCGGGTGCCTGCTCCCAGGAGGGTCTTCGGGAATAGGAACGAGCCTGGTCCCAGCAGGGATGGACGGACCTGTGGAGTTTGGGCAGGACTTGCGAGCAGGTCCCTGGGGACCCGCCGGCTGCGGTGGCACATCCCCTGCCCGGGACCCCATCCCTCCTGCAGGAGCTGAAGGTCCCACGGAGGCCAGCAGGGGCTCGCCAGGAGACTGACAGAGCAGGAGCCAGCCAGTGTTCATCACAGACTGGGTTTACTGGGGGGTGCAGGGGCACAGAGACCCCTGTGCTCAGCATGGAGCTGAGGGTGAGAGGGTGGAGGTGGGATCAGGGCGACGGGTGCTTATCCAGCAGCTGATGGATCCCTCCATGGCCAGCTGTCTGGCTGTCTGGTGCAGGGTGGCTGCACACGCTGGGTCCTCGGTCCAGGTCCAGGCAGGGGCTAGGTGAATCCTGGGGAGAGACAGGAGCATCCATGTCCCAAGCCCTCCCTTCGGGGCATTCCAGGGCACAGCCGTTAGCCCCACAGCGGGGCCCTGGGGGTGAGGGCTCCCAAGACCCCAGGCACCCCTCCCAGGGGAGCTGCCGGGGGGTTTGCTGATCACTTCTGCAGTGTGCAAGGATGTGTGGGGAGATGGCACTGCTGTTTGGGGCGCTGCACCCTGGCCATGGCTGCTCTCGTCCCTATGATGTGGCCGCACATCCTCATGCAGCACCATCCTGCCGGCTCCCCGCGCCCGCCCCGTGCCCACCCCGTGCTCACCTGTGGACACCAGCCGGGCCCAGAGGCAGCAGAGGCCCAGGAGCAGGAGCAGCGACAGCAGCCGCATGGCGCAGGGGCTGCCTGTCCAGGCAGGGGTTTAAATCCTCTCGGGGTTGGAGGTTGGTTCCAGTGACCTGGTCCGTGCCCCAGCACCCGGCACGCTCCGTCTGAGCGTGAACCCTCCCGTCCCCTCCCTCCTGCAGGCTGCTGCTGCTGGACGAGCCATGCAGGGAGGCACAAAGGTGCTGCTGCTCAGCACTGGGCTCTGTGCAGCCCTGAGAGCTGTGCCGTGCTGCGCTGTGCTGTGCCACGCTGTGCTGTGCCACGCCATGCTGTGCCACGCCATGCTGTGCCACAAGACAAGAGCAGCCAGTACAGCTTCCCACTGCAGGGGACAGGTACAGGCCAGGCGGCAACAAGGGGCTGGGGGACCCCGGTGTGGGGCTGGGCCTGCCGAGGCAGCGGAGGGGGCTGCCCCCCGCCCCCCCCCATCCTGCCCCAAAAAAAAAGCCCAGCCAGTACAGCTTCCCACTGCAGGGGACAGGTACAGAGGTACAGGCAACAAGGGGCTGGGGGACCCCGGTGTGGGGCTGGTCCTGCCGAGGCAGCGAAGGTGGCTCCCCCGCCGGG